AATGGTATTTCAAATACAGCAGAGTAAATTACATTGTAATAAAGGCACCTTGACACTTAAAGGTATGACCTCAGCCTATCCAGTCTGTACTGGTTAGGCTGAGTCACATCAAGTGATAATTTAAACAAGGGAGTGTAAACAAGGAACCTTTTAAACAAGGAACTGTTTAAACAAGGGGTCAGTATAAGCTAGTTCAAGAACTGGCAGAACCCAATCCACTTCAGAAACCACAATAACCATAAAATACAGAGAATAAACATTAGCAGGAAACATATGACGAGAACCATGTATTACACATCTTAGATACATATCCTGGATACATATTATTACGTGACTTCCTAAATTGTGGAATGTAATAACAAAAAAAAGAAAAATAGTTGTGTTTACCAGAAGAAACAGTTAGTTTGTTCAGGTCGTAACTCACGCAGCGAATTATCTCGTCACTGCCTAGATTTATACACTAATTTATCAAGGCTTTATGACCAATATATTGAAAAGACTCGTGATTTATCTCCCTCCTTGGCTGCGCCCACTATGTCATCTAAGTTATTCCCGGAGCTGGCAGTTATTAACACATGTTTGGTGGGGGGGGGGGCGGGTATTAAGGGTGCGGCTGGGGGGGGGGGGGGTATTAAGGGTGCGGCTGGGGGGGGGGGGAGATTGGTGATAAGGAAGGGTGGGGCTGTGGGGGGGGGGGAGATTGGTGTTTAAGAAGGGTGGACATCGCTTCGGATTCGTAGTCCTGAGGTTCTGGGTTCGATCCCCGGTGGCGGCGGAGACAGAGGGGCAAAATGTTTCTTTCACCCTGATGCCCCTGTTACCTAGCAGTAAATAGATACTTGGGAGTTAGTCAGCTGCTACGGGCTGCTTCTTGGGGGTGTGTAACAAAAAGGAGGCCTGTCGAGAACCGGGCCGCGGGGTCGCTAAGCCTCGAAATCATCTCAAGATAATCTCAAGATGAGATTTAGCCCCAGTAGCTTATCCGCATAGTTTAATCCTCTTAGCTCGGGCACTAATCTTGTTGAAAATCTTTGTACTTTTCAGTTTTGGTTTTATGCCTCACATGGTGTGGATTCCAGACCGGTGCTGCATATTCCAGTATTGGGTTAACAAATTTTATATAGATTGCCTTGAAGGAGTCCTGATTCAGTTTCCTAAACAATATTCTTATGGTTTGCTAGCGTTTCATATGCTGCTGATGTTATCCTGTTTGTGTGCCTCCGGTGTGGCTATTTAGTTATATCCACACCCAAAATGTTACTCTTACCGACTCACGCAGTTGTCTTCCCTTTATGGTGTTGATGTCTTCTGGTCGCCTCTCTCCTGTTCCATCTTCATTACCTTTCAGCTGTTGGGTTTGAATTCCAGCAACATCACCACTCCTGCAGTTTGTCAAGGTCCTCCTGTAACTTCCTGCAGGCCTCCACGTTCACGTTTCTCGTCAGGTTTGCACCATCAGCAAACATTGACATGTGTAGCTTACTCCCTCTGGCAGGCCGTTCACATAAACGAGGAACAGCAGTGGGGCCAGGATAGAGCCTTGTGGGACCCCACTTGTTACATTCCTGCAGCTTGGAACCATCTCTCTGACAGTGACTCTTTGTTTCCTGTCCTTCAGGTACTCCCTTACCCAGTCTAGTGTTGTCCCAGGTATCCCAGCCTGCTTCTCTATCTTGTACACCAGTCTTTCATGGGGGACACTGTCAAGTACTTTTTGCAATCTAGGAAAATATAGTCTGTCCAGCCATCTTTTCCTGACATATGACAGCAAAAGATGACTGGTTTGGGTTGTATGACAACTGTAGCCTTGTCATAGAGCTCAGTCAAGTTTGTCAGGCCCGACTTTCTCTTTATAAATACATGCTGACCTTTTACCACATAGTCAGTCCTTTCAAGACGCTCCGCCACTCTCAAGCAGAGTACTTTCTCCTTTACCTCACATCAGATACTTGTGTCTGACACTGGTCTGTCATTTAGCGCCTTCTGTTGATCCATTTTTCAATATTGGGGCTACAGTTGCCTCTTACCAGACTTCTGGATGATTTCCTGTCTCCACCATTTTAATGACAATTTTTAGATAATTGGTGATTACGTGCATATGCAGCCTCCTTCAGGAGTCCCGGTAAGATAAAGTCTGGTTCCATTGTCTTTGCTAGGATGATCTTGTCACCCTAGTTAAGCCACACCACATCTGAGGGGTGGCTTTGTGGGGTAACGATGAGGTAGTGTTGACGCAGGGTGTGGTCATGGAGGTGTAGGTGTGCGCTTTTGGGTGGGTTTGTGTAGGGACGCAAGTGGGTGTATGGATGCAAGTGGATGTATGGACGCAAGAGGGTGTATGGACGCAAGTGGGTGTATGGACGCAAGAGGGTGTATGGATGCAAGTGGATGTATGGACGCAAGTGGGTGTATGGACGCAAGTGGGTGTATGGATGCAAGTGGATGTATGGACGCAAGAGGGTGTATGGACGCAAGTGGGTGTATGGACGCAAGAGGGTGTATGGGCAAGTGGGTGTATGGATGCAAGTGGATGTATGGACGCAAGTGGGTGTATGGACGCAAGAGGGTGTATGGATGCAAGTGGATGTATGGACGCAAGAGGGTGTATGGACGCAAGTGGGTGTATGGACGCAAGAGGGTGTATGGACGCAAGAGGGTGTATGGACGCAAGAGGGTGTATGGACGCAAGAGGGTGTATGGACGCAAGTGGGTGTATGGACGCAAGAGGGTGTATGGACGCAAGTGGGTGTATGGACGCAAGAGGGTGTATGGACGCAAGTGGTTGTATGGACGCAAGAGGGTGTATGGACGCAAGAGGGTGTATGGACGCAAGAGGGTGTATGGACGCAAGAGGGTGTATGGACGCAAGAGGGTGTATGGACGCAAGAGGGTGTATGGACGCAAGAGGGTGTATGGACGCAAGAGGGTGTATGGACGCAAGAGGGTGTATGGACGCAAGAGGGTGTATGGACGCAAGAGGGTGTATGGACGCAAGAGGGTGTATGGACGCAAGAGGGTGTATGGACGCAAGAGGGTGTATGGACGCAAGAGGGTGTATGGACGCAAGTGGGTGTATGGACGCAAGTGGGTGTATGGACGCAAGTGGGTGTATGGACGCAAGTGGGTGTATGGACGCAAGTGGGTGTATGGACGCAAGTGGGTGTATGGACGCAAGTGGATGTATGGACGCAAGAGGGTGTATGGACGCAAGTGGGTGTATGGACGCAAGTGGATGTATGGACGCAAGAGGGTGTATGGACGCAAGTGGATGTATGGACGCAAGAGGGTGTATGGACGCAAGTGGGTGTATGGACGCAAGAGGGTGTATGGACGCAAGTGGGTGTATGGACGCAAGAGGGTGTATAGACTCAAGTGGGTGTATAGACTCAAGTGGGTGTATGGACGCAAGTGGGTGTATGGACGCAAGTGGGTGCATGGACGCAAGTGGGTGTATGGACGCAAGTGGGTGCATGGACGCAAGAGGGTGGACGCAAGAGGGTGTATGGACGCAAGTGGGTGTATGGACACAAGTGGGTGTATGGACGCAAGTGGGTGTATGGACGCAAGAGGGTGTATGGACGCAAGTGGGTGTATGGACGCAAGTGGGTGTATGAGATGCCGTGGGTATATTTGGACGAGTGTATGGAGTGTGCTTTGTGTCGACGGGAAACGAAATCTAGCTTCAAGGCCCTATACCTCATAGCTAATGCATGTGTGCTTCTATACTGCTGATGTTCCAGTATCCTATCCGTTCTGGCACTCTGTAATATATGGTCTTGAAGTAGTTGATCGAAGTGTCTTCCATGAGTTTTGCTTCAAGGACCTTCAATTTGTTGACATTCATCTGTGATTCACACCTGAGACTGCGTGCGGCGGAGGTTAACAGCCTGGTTGGTCACACCGTCAACCTGGAAGCCTGGTCAGAGGCTGTGGCATGGACACAATTATTCTTGTTGATCAATTTACGGTAACCTCATGGTGGGTATGGGTACTCACCTAGTTGTACTCACCTAATTGTGCTTGCGGAACAACCGTGGACATTTTCAAGAGGAAACTAGATTTATTCCTCCAAGGAGTGCCGGACCAACCAGGCTGTGGTGGGTATGTGGGCCTGTGGGCCGCTCCAAGCAACAGCCTGGTGGACCAAACTCTCACAAGTCAAGCCTGGCCTCGGGCCGGGCTTGGGGAGTAGAAGAACTCCCAGAACCCCATCAACCAGGTATCAACCAGAATACTTACACATCCATACGCTCATCCACACCCTCACCCATACCCACACACTCACACCCAGAGATTCCAGGAGGTCTTCACCATAGAACAAGGAGAGTGCCTTCATTTTAGTGCCCCTGCACTAAACGAGGCGGCGGCAAACTAAGTAACCTTGAAGGAATTTGAACTCACCAGTGATGAGGTCAAAAGGAATCTGTTGGAGATGAATATGACAAAGGCTGTTGGGTCTGACAGAATCTCACCATAAATACTAAAAGAAAGTGCAGAGGCACTAAGTGTGCCACTCTCTATGGTGTATAACAGGTCACTGGAAACAGGAGACCTAACGGAAAGCTGGAAACAGCTAATGTAGTCCCAATATATAAAAAGGATGACAGGCAAGAGGCACTGAACTTCCCCTAACTTGTATATCATGCAAGGTGATGGAGAAGATCGTGAGGAAAAGGCTCGTAAGCACATCTGGAGGGAAATAGCTTTGTAACACACCACCAGCATAAGTTCAGGGATGGTAAATCATGCCTCACAGGCTAAATAGAATTCTAGGACCAAGCAACAAAAATTAGGCAAGAATGCGAAAGGTGGGCACACCATTTTCTTAGACTTTGACTCTAGGACTTTCCTTGATTCTAGATTTTCTTAGATTTCTTAGACCATTTTCTCAGAAAGTCTTTGACACAGTACCCCCATAAGGTTGTTATAAAAGTTGGGGAAACAGGCAGGAATAAAAGGTAAGGTGCTCCAGTGGATAAGGGAGTATCTAAGCAACAGGAAACAGTGAGTAACTGTGAAGGGGAGACATCAGAGTGGTGAGATGTTACCAGCGGTGTCCCACAGGGCTCTGTACTTGGACCCATCCTGTTTCTAATATCTGTAAACGATCTTCCAGAAGGTATAGACTCGTTCCTCTCAATGTTTGCTGATGATGCAAAAATTATGAGAAGAATCAAGACAGAAGATTGACAGAGACTACAGGACGACCTGAACAAACTGGAGGAATGGTCAAGAAAATGGTTACTAAAATTCAACTCAGGAAAGTGTAAAGCAATGAAATAGGCGAAGGGAGCAGGAGGCTGAATACAAGGTATCATCTGGGAGGTGAAATTCTGCAAGAGTCAAATAGAGAGAAAGATCTGGGGGTTGATATCACACCTAACCTGTCCCCAGAGGCCCACATCAAAAGAATATCATCAGCAGCATATGCTAGACTGGCCAACATAAGAACTGCCTTTAGAAACTTGTGTAAGGAATCGTTCAGAACCCTGTATATCACTTACGTAAGACCAATCCTGGAGTATGCAGGCTGGAGTCCATACCTAATTAAACACAAGACAAAGTTAGAGAAGATTCAAAGGTATGCCACCAGACTAGCCCCAGAACCGAGAGGTATGAGCTACGAGGAAAGGCTAACGGAGCTAAACCTCACGTCCCTGGAAGACAGATGAGTAAGGGAAGACATGATAACCACCTACAAAATTCTCAGGGGAATTAACAGGCTGGACAAAGACAAATTATTTAACACGGGTGGAACACCCACAAGGGGATACAGGTTAACTTAGTACCCAAATGAGCCACAGAGACGTTAGAAAGAATTTGTTCAGTGTCAGAGTAGTTAACAGGTGGAAACCATTAGGCAGTGATGTGGTAGAGGCTGACTCCATACACAGTTTCAAGTGTAGATATGATAGAGCCCAGTAGGCTCAGGAACCTGGACACCAGTTGATTGACAGTTGAGAGGCGGGACCAAAGAGCTCAAAGATTCTGCCTCGAGTCTTTGACTATGTAGCCTTGTTACCCTCTCGAAACACTTCCTTCTGGCCAAAAGATATGAGACAGACTAAGAACGCTCCGTGCTCTAGGTATGAACATTATGGTCATGTTGGAGATTCGAGCCACCATTGTAAACGAAGCTCAGTGGTTAGATAAAAAAAAATGTCTTAGTACACACACACACACACACACACACACACACACACACACACACACACACACACACACACACACACACACACACACACACACACACACGCGCGCGCGCGCACGCTCATCATCTCTCTCTCTCCCTCTCTTCTCGCCCTCTCCCTCCGTCCTCCCCCCCCCTCTCCCTCCCAATCCTCTCTCTCTCTCCTCTCCTCCCTATACCCTATCCACCCGCCCCCTCCCTCCTACTCCGTCCTCCCCCACCCTCCCTCCTACTCCGTCCTCCCCCACCCTCCCTCCTACCCCCTACCTCCCCCACCTCTTTTGGCATTTGCAGACCATTCGGCTACTTTTTCTGTCTAACACAGATTTATATCATAAAAACCCGTTCCGTAACCCGTAGCGAGAGAGGGGAACCGGTTAATTTGGCCATGGGCCACACACATGGCCCTCAACACGTCCAGCTGGGCCAGCACTCTCAGAACACTGGCGTGTCCTCTTAGCACATGTGAAACACTTTATTCTTGACTATGGTAGCTTAGATGATATTTAGTCTACGAGCTCCCACGCGCTACGAGGTCGTCTTCTCGTGGAGAGTAATTTTTAATTTAATTTTGCCCCGAGGGGCGAGTTTATTGGGCAGCGCCACTCATCTTGTGAGTGAACATACCGCCATAGCAGAATGTACAACACTCCCCAATAGGAAGAAAACCCGCTGGGTTGTTCATCCTGTCACTTGTACCCAGACACAGCTGGGACTTGCTTAACTGTCTCAAGTGAACAGCTCCTCAAACAAGAAGATTAACATTTATCAACCCTTAAAAGCTTACGTTATCTTGCGGGTGCAAAATTGGGAAATCTTTTAAGAACAGTATCAATATTTGCCAAATAGTGTTTTCCTAACTCAAACAATGTGGGGTTTATTATTCTACAGTTATTCCTAATATCTCTCAGGTGTTCACATTCACGTAGATAGTGGTCAAGGCGGTGTCCATCACTCTCACCACAGATGCTGCAACTTCGCTGATCAACTGTTGTTTCCATTCCAAATCTCCATGGATATTTGTATCCAAGACGGATTCTCGCTATTACAGATTCTCTCCCTCGTCGTCCTCCTCTTCGGCCATACTGATTGGGATTGCCAGCTGCAACCATGTTGTACCATCGTACAGATTCACTGGTTTGTGCTTCTATCCTCCTTTCCTCAGTTACCTTGTCACGGTGATGTTGCCTGATAATACCTCTAATTTGTAGTAGAGTCTTGGGTATGAAGTATTCAATATGGTCTCCTTCAGCGCCTTCAGCAGCCAGCACATCTGCTCGTTCATTCCCACATATTCCAACATGGGAGGGGATCCACAGAAACTTGATGACTCTTCCCTGGTTGGTAAGTACTCTCACAGCTCTCTTGATTTCAGCAACTATTGCAAGATTTTCTGTCTGATTTTTACTTAGGCTTTGCAGTGCTGCTTTTGAATCGGTGCAAATCACTGCACCATTAGTGTTCCGTTCAAGAAACCTTAACGCCATAACAATGGCAGTTAGCTCTGCTTGCGTTGAAGAGGCATAGTTCTCAATACGCGCTTTGTCTTCATTTCTGCGTTGGAAGGTATTATCCTTGATTACCGTGTATGCTGCACCAGCCCTGCCATTGATAGGATTAGATGACCCGTCAGTGTAGATTTGATCTAATTCATCTCCGGCTTCTTTATAAATGTCCTCGAGATACTTGTGCCTCATTTCTTGTGGTATCATGTTGGATTTTTTCATTGCCATTTCATTGATGATGATCTTGCATGAGTCATCCTCCCAGGGAGGTAACCTCTCTACAGGCAGGAGCTCACGGGCTTGCTCAAGCAGGTGAAGCTCTTCAAGGTAGCAGACTGCTCTGTGATGCCATTTTTTGCTTCTCCTGTTTCCCCCTGAAAGTAGCACAGAGCTCAGTTTTTTCTTGGCAATATCATTGTAATGGGGATCTCTGGCTATCTTAATTGCAAGCTTAGCATTCAGCTCCTGAATTCTGCTTTTAATACTGGGAAGGGAAAACTCCTCTCGTAGATTAGACGTTTTGGCAGTTCTTGGGACTCCAAGAATGATTGTCATGGCTTCATTTTGAACGCTTTCAAGCCTTTTCATATCGCTTTGGGAGTAGGTGCACAGTACTGGTGCGGCATAGTCTATGACGGAGCGCACATAGGCTGTGTACATCATTTTGAGCACGGCAATAGAGGCTCCATGTCCATTCCAGGTCATAGCTTTCAGTGCCCTGAGTCGACTTTTGCATGTTCCTATGAGTTGGTTGAGCTCCTCTTTCTTTCCCTTGTTAGAGCCGACAGTGACGCCAAGGTACCGATAGTGGTCAACCCATTCAAGTGTTACACCATTAATTTGCAGTTCTTCATTTGCTCTCCGCTTGTGATGGGAGTATGCCTTCGTCTTGTTTGTGGAGAGAGTGAAACCGAGCTCAATACATTTCCTTCCGAGGAGTTCAATGGACTGTTCAATTTTTCCCAAGGTGGGAGCTTGTATTAGGACATCATCTGCATATCCCACTTGTTGTGTTCCTTCCGGAAAATCAATATTTGCAATGGCGTTCATAAGTACATTGAATAGTGTAGGGCTTAAGACTCCGCCTTGGGGGGTCCCGAGTTCCATATTCATTGTTCTGGAGACTGCTCCATTGAAGCAAACCTTGGCTTTCCT